ATAATTAAAATAATTAAATGGAACTCCAACTGGTATTAAATCTAAAAAGTTTTTGAGAAATGTTTGCATTGCTTGTTAATTTTTGCTGCATAATTTGATCAAATATGTAAAACATGTCCGTAGCACGTTAAACTGTGGTGCCATCGTATTAATATACAATTATTTGCTCAAAAGTTGCCCTTTTTTTCCAATTTGCGTTTGAATATCTACATTTATTCTCATTCTTCTGTTTAATGGAATGCACAAACACAGCAGCGTGCCATCAAAGATGGCGTCTCCGAGGAGGTCATGTGACATTCATTGGTCTGTGGGAACTATGTATACTTACAACCTACGTTTACAATTCCTGCTTTACGGTTATGTTTAAGCAGACCCTATTTTGACGCCATACCGGGGCTCGAACCCCGATCGTTCAAGCGAAAGTTTTGGACAATCCTGCTACGCCACACAGGCGCTGGAGAAAACACTGGATCTAATAGGAGAGATCGCTGAGTGAACGAGCCGTGCGTGTGTGCGGGACGCTTAAAATGCCTTATATGCAAGTTAATGCAAATGTTTGCCATATGATCTGCTACTCCTGTGCATTTTAGAATTCCTAATTAATGGTAGCTATATGTAACATGTGTAGTTTATCCATCCATCCATTTTCTACCCTTTAATCCATTTCTGGGTCAGGGGGGTGGCAGTCAGAGCTGCACCCAAGTCTCATAGCACCAGCCCCTCACTGACCCTCTGCAGGTGGTGAGTCCACAGGAGGACGGCTGCTCTCTGACTGTGAGCATAGCCTTGATCTTTCAGAGGGGGCTTTGGGCAAAGTGGGGTTAAGTGTCTTGCCCAAGGACACAACGACAGCAGTCATCAGTGGGAGTCGGTGGAGAAGGTGCAGAGGTGGGAATTGAACCCACGACCTTCTGGCCTTAAGGCCAATGCTCTACCAACTGAGCTACTGTCGCCCCTGTAGTTTAAATTTTTGTAATTATACACAGCCTATATATTGCTAATCAAAGTAAAAGTATTCAGAATACAGTGTACACTGGTGTTTGCTTTGTTCCAATGTTTCACGTTCAATAACGCACTTGCTGCTGGCTATCCCATACTGTAGAAGAAGTCAGAAAGGAACTTTTGAGAAGAAGTGTTTTTATTTAAAATTAAGAAGTAAAAATAAGTAATAAAGTAAAATACAATTGTATTGTTACAGTACTTACAATACAGTGCAGTAAGTTAGTACAGTGTTTTACAGAGTCAATCCTTTCACTTTAAACCGCGTTTTGATAGGCCCGAAGTGAGCAAAAAATCCTTTTGACAAGGAAAGAAGATAACAAGCTGATAACGTTACGTAATTGCCTCAGACAAGAATCGAACCCAGATCCCCCGCATCCTAACCTGCAACTCAAACCATTCGGCCAACATAGTATCACTAGTTAGATGCTCCTTTTTCAACTGGTTAGACATTCCTTTTCAACTGGTTAGACATTCCTTTTCAACAGGTTAGACATTAATTTTTAAATTGGTTAGAAATTCCTTTTTCAACTTGTTAGAGGTTCCTTTTTCAACTGGTTAGACATTCCCGTTTAACTGGTTAGACATTCCTTTTTCAACTGGTTAGATGTTCCTTTTTCAACTGGTTAGACATTCATTTTTCAACTGGTTAGGCATTCCTTTTTCAACTGGTTAGACGTTCCTTTTTCAACTGGTTAGACGTTCCTTTTCATCTGGTTAGACCTTCCTTTTTCAACTGGTTAGACGTTCATTTTTCAACTGGTTAGACATTCCTTTTCATCTGGTTAGACCTTCCTTTTTCAACTGATTAGACATTCCTTTTCATCTGGTTAGACGTTCCTGTTTCAACTGGTTAGACGTTCCTTTTCAACTGGTTAGACGTTCCTGTTTTAACTGGTTACACATCCCTGTTTAACTGGTTAGACATTCCTTTTCAACTGGTTAGACATTCCTTTTCAACTGGTTGGACGTCAATTTTTAAATTGGTTAAAAATTCCTTTTTCAACTGGTTAGACATTCCTTTTTAACTGGTTAGACATTCCTTTTCAACTGGTTAGACGTTCCTTTTTCAACTGGTTAGACTTTGCTTTTCAAATTGTTGGACATTCCTTTTCAACCTTAACATTACTTTGAACAAGGAATCTATTTTTCCAAGTTAAATTTTGCGAATTCAAGATCAAGTTGGAATATTTTCTTGTAAATGAGTCCCTATGCTGTGCTTCGCCCAAATTAAACAATGGCCCGTACGAGGATTGAACTCGTGACCTTGGCGTTATTAGCACCACGCTCTAACCAACTGAGCTAACCGGCCATGTTGAAATATATTCCTTTTTCAACTGATTAGACGCTCCTTTTTCAACTGGTTAGACGTTGCTTTTTCAACTGGTTAGACGTTCCTCTTCAACTGGTTAGACATTCCTGTTTGACTGGTTAGACATTCCTGTTTGACTGGTTAGACATTCCTTTTCGACAGGTTAGACGTTAATTTTTAAATTGCTTAGAAATTCCTTTTTCAACTGGTTAGACGTTCCTTTTTCAACTGGTTAGACATTCCCGTTTAACTGGTTAGACATTCCCGTTTAACTGGTTAGACATTCCTTTTCAACTGGTTAGTTAACTGGTTAGACATTCCTTTTCAACTGGTTAGACATTCACTCTTCACCATCTTTGGTAGGCTCCATTCTTGATGAAATGTCCTAAAACAACAATAGAATATTTCGTTTTTTTCTTTGCTAAAACACAAAATAAGTGGCGCAGTCATTAAACATTCGTCTATAGTGCGTGAGATTGGCAGATCGAATCAAAGTACCGTTTTTTTTTTATGGCAGTTATATAAAAACTGTATATATATAAAGATATATATAGATATTTATAGATATATATATGTATAAAGAAATAACAGTCATAAAAAAGTTTTAGATCTTGGCTGGATTTGAATCTGCGAACTCTTGCATGATTGGCGGACACACACCAACTATACCACTCACCAGGTGGTTTTAAATAAAATTGTGTCTTGAGTGTTTTACACATCATTTAGTTTTACCCTAACGATGATGCAATATTAATCCTAATGCAAGATTACTATTGGAACAACACATAACCATATGTATGAAATATATATTTATACATATTCAATTTGTATTTAATCTGACAAAAAAAAAAATAAAGACCAGATCTGGAATTGAACCAGGTATCTTCCGCACGAGAGACAGTTATAAACCAAGTGCAACACAGGAATATACAGTTCTCCAGAATCTAAACCACATATAATACATGAAATTAAGTCTTTCAACAGATTTTAAATTTAATTTATTATAACTCAAACTACATTTTTCAAACAGCTTATGGCACTTCTGACATTCTCCATGAAGTGTTATGCCCAAAGACCCAACATCAGCAAATGTCATTGGTAGTCACTGGGGATTTGAAGTAGCAACCATCAACACCGTAGTCCTGTGCTTTTCCATCTGAGCCACTGGACCACTATCTCTAATACTGCTGCTTGTTGTCTTTTGTACAGGCTGCTTTCAACTGTATTTGTTTTACACGCTATTTATTCCCCACATGCCGTTTTAAACGCCATTTATTGTCCACATTCCGTTTTAAATGCCATTTATTGCCCACATGCCGTTTTAAACGGCATTTATTCCCCACATGCCGTTTTAAACGCCACTTGTTGTCCACATGCCGCTTTACACGCCACTTGTTGTCCACATGCCGTTTTAAACGCCACTTGTTGTCCACATGCCGTTTTAAACACCATTTATTGTCCACATGCCGCTTTACACGCCATTTATTCCCCACATGCCGTTGTAAACGCCATTTATTGCCCACATGCCGCTTTACACGCCATTTATTCCCCACATGCCGTTTTAAACGCCACTTGTTGTCCACATGCCGCTTTACACGCCACTTGTTGTCCACATGCCGTTTTAAACGCCACTTGTTGTCCACATGCCGTTTTAAACACCATTTATTGCCCACATGCCGCTTTACACGCCATTTATTCCCCACATGCCGTTTTAAACGCCACTTGTTGTGTACATGCCACTGATCAGCTGTGGCAGGTGCCGGTGCCACAAAAGGAGCCTGCCCTTTCTCTAAAAATGGGTGACTCCGAAAGGATGTTCCGCTGTTACCGTAAGTTCTCAAAGAAACGCGCACCGTATTTTCCACGATGCGGGCCGCTTGTTCATAGAGCTGAAAGATGCGGGCCACTTTACCGCGGTCCTAAGTGGGGGGCAGATACCGCCATCAACAACCGGAGCAAGAGGCCAATACAGAGACATCAGCAAGCCAACTACAGCAGCAAGAGGCAGGAACCACGACATCAACGCGCTTTATACATGAAGCATCAGAAGGAGAGGAGCGCGCACTGAGCGGAGAGGAATGTGGGTCATCCAGCGACAGGTCAGTGGGATGTGCAGCTGTGCAGTTACTGACTTCTTATGGACAATTCAGGTTTGGGCTGCGCAATTTGTAAGGTGGTGGGGACTTTGGGGCCAGAGAAGACGGGGGTATTAAACCTGAGAGTGGGTGTCAAGTACAGAAGTCCAGATATTAAAAAACAGCAACGCACGCTCAGAAAAAAAGTATTTGTGTGATTTATTGTAAGCTCTGATTTTTTTGAGAAAAAAAACCATGTGTTACTGTAAGTCCCACCTGTGGTGAAGTGGGCATTTGCCTGTGGTGTGTCCGGGACCTGTATTGGTTTCATTTACCTGCGCTGTCATTGTGTACTTTGCGTTCCGGCACCTTGTGATTTACAAATTAAGCACTGCACCCACTTACACAACTGATACTACAGACAGTCACACCTCATTGTTACATTTATTTGTTATACTTGGGTTAAGCTTCTTTTAAAATAAAACACCCCACCAAGTATCCCATTTCGTTGTCTGCGTCCATATTTGTCATGGCCTTGGGCCAGGTTATGACACAAGTGATTGAGTTCAGGCTGGAGTCTTCTGTTGTGGAAAACCTCCTCAGTCAGCACAGAACTACAGTTTCCATCGTCGTGGGACACACTTTCTCCAGCTGTGGGTGGAGAAACGAAGTGACGAAGGACAGGAGCATTTGAACGTCCCTCTGAGGTTCACACACACATGTGAGCATCCACCATTGTCCCGACTGCATTCATCAAAATCTGTGAAAGAGCAGAAAACAGAAAAAATGTTTCCCCCAGAGGCTTCCCCCAGAGTTTACTTGGTTCAATAAAGAGGTCTGTATAAAAGGTGCCATATCATTCAAAGACTTTTCAAAAACGAATTGACCCAAAAATCAAAATTGATAAAAATTAATATTACGGTGTGGCAGTCATTTGCCTTTTGTTTACCATCACTGCTTATGAATAAAATATGAATTCACCAATCCATCTTCTTCTGTGAGCAACACTGAGCTCCCTGCTTTGACTTTTGATAATAATTATAATTTGATATAATAATTGTGGTTGAACTGTCGCTTCAGCTGCCCTGGGGCACCCTGACAGAAGAAAGGCATCCAGCCTGTGCCATCAGCTCCCCCTACCAACATCAACCTTTCATGCACACATAAGACTCTAACGAGGCAATGATGCTCTGCCTGATGTTCCCAGAGGTCTCCCTTCATAGCACTAACCAAGCCCTACCCTATTTAGCATCAGAGGTCTGACAAGATCTGCCATCTGCATGAAGATATAGCCAGTATCACCGAAAGGAATTAAAATTAAAACAATCGCAGCTAATGTACGGTATGTACAAAATGGGTCAAATTGTACTTTTAACTGTTTTCCTGAAACACTTTGTATGAGTAAAAGTGCAACATATTGATATATAGTCTTCCTGGATCGGCAACGATATTCCAAACCAGTGTCGCATAAAGTTTGTAATTGATTTTTCAACAATTACTTTCAATTTGTTTTATTATAATATTGTAGTAATCTAGTTTTTATCTTTTGCATTTGTAATTGTTTTAATACATCAATTTTGCCTTCAGACAGTTAGCATGTTCTTGATGTGTCTGCATAAGTTTCTTCCGGGCACTCTTGTTTTCCTATACCACTGAAAACATGTACAATAGCTCCCCTCTCTTTAAACCTGTGTTTTTTTGCATCCGCTCTTCTTAAATGTGCCATATGAATAAATTAGAGTTGATGTTTGACCTGTGCACTTGCGTCCATCCTTTGAGAGCTTGAATCCTTTGGGGCAGATGCATCTGAACGTTCCGGGCAAATTTATGCACTTCCAGTCGCACTCTTCCTCCTCACATTCATTTATATCTGAGAATAGATAATGATCATTTTAATATTTCCTTGTATTAGGAAGCATTTTTTTTGATTTGGTATTGTCTTTGAATAGAATTTCAAGCATTTTTGAATTTTCTTTCTGTAAAGTTATTGCTTGCTTTACTCTCATTTGTTAATAATACATTTTTGCTCACCTCCGCATCAGCAAATCCTGGTTTAAGAAGATTTTGCAGGATGAAACCCACCACCGCTAATTCAACCATTCATTTGCTATTATTATATTATCTATGGAAATGTGTTAACATTTATGGACTGGACAAAGCTGTAATCATAAGACACGCACCGACACACTGGCCTGCAGGGGGCAGTGTGGAGTTGTTTGGGAAGATGGCCAGTTTCCTGTATCCTTTGGGGCAGTCTGGGATGCAGGCGAGGCCATCTCCAGCCAGAGTGAAGCCGCGAGAGCAGGAGCAGTGGAAGGACCCTGCAGAGTTATGACAGCGCTCCGAACAAGGACCCAGACCTCCGTTGGCTGCACACTCATCAAAGTCTGTGCAAGAAAGAAATCATTCAGAACAGGACTTGTAAAGGTGTCGTGGTGTCCTCTTCCCTTATAGTAGAGGTAAAGGTTCACTTTATTCATTCCCATAGGGCAATTCATGCATTTGACCCAACCTGCAAATGCCACTGGGCGCCTGTCAGGAGCAGTGGTCGCCGTAATACAACCCCCCAGGACCCATTTCCATATACTGATGCTCGGCTTGGTCAGGACCATAGACATAGCTATATTAATGGATGTAGTCATGCCTATCTCCGCCGTTCTAACTAATGGGTCAAAAATTGGGCTTTCATGGAGTGATTCAAAATGACCGCGGGGGCTGGAAAGTGTGAAAAAAAACTGCATCTGCGCATGCGTCAGCTGGCACGTGCTCCATTCATTTAGACGAGCATTGACACACATGTGGAACGGAGCTTTGGGCCAAGAACCAACTTTTGGTCCATCCTGTAAAGACGTTTTTGAGAGGTCAGCTAATGCTATACGTTAGCATTGGCTAATTCTTATTCCGGGTCCACCCCCATCGGCCCAGGGTGGTATTGCAAGCATGTCAGTGCATGTCATTTTGGCCACTTTTGAGCCGGGACCCTGTAGGGGCCCACTGGTCAGGACTAGCCTGGTCGTACCACACCATAGTACAAATTACATTTCGTACTAAGGTCTGGATTTCCTTCATTGAGCAGGTTGGAGGGGTTAACTCTTTTTCCAGATTGAAACGATTGGATCTGAGTTTGCCGTGACGTATGTAAAGCGCCCGAGTGAGTTGCAAGCATTTAGCCTAGCCATCTCCTTTGCCACTAACAGAGCCCGTGGGGAGTAGTGCCACTAAATCTTTGCCAGCTGAGTACAAAACACAAACCCTTCCACACCGAAAAGCCGTCTTGTTGACTGCTCTGGAAATTTATAGTATGACTTGTTTTATAGAGTTGAACCTTGGCAGTGAGCGTCTGGGCTCGGCAGAGTGTATCCTGGTGGACACAGACAGTAGAAGCCCCCTGCAGTATTCACACAACCAAACAGGCAACCGGTCTCAGCCACAGGCAACGTGCACTCGTCTAGATCTGGAAAACAAGAGAGAAACAAGAAAGCATGTTTGAGGCAAAGAATGGTGTTCGACTAATAAAGTAATTGTGTGAATATATTATCGAGTTGAATTAAATAGTTTCAATTTGACGTTAAAACAAAAATGTATGTCCGCAAAAAACAACCATGTGTCAACAAGGGTTTGGACCATGTGAGGAAAATTCCATGAACGGATGTGTCCTTATCCTCTATGAAAAAGCCTCGGCGCGGGAAATGCTAGATCTGACAGTATGCATGACAGTTTTATATTTGTTGGTGGGATAGTAATTTATTTGTCCTGAAAGATATGTTAAAACACACAGTGAATAAATCGTCCATACCTTCACAAATTGGTAAAACCCTGCTCCACGTCCCATCCCTTTGACAGAATCGAGCAGCCTCCCCTTTGAGAGAGAAACCAAGGGAGCAGACGTACTCGATGTAACTTTCTTTCATTTCCGGCGAAGCAGTCTTTTTGTCTCTATAATAAAAAGTCCCGTGTGCTGGAACAGGAGGCTCTGGACACGGGGTTTGTAAGGTTGAAATAATGGAGTATTCATTGGACACAACGTTCCTCAAAGGTATTGGTAAAGTTGGTGTAAAAACTGGTTGTGAAGGCTCTAAACTATTTTGAAATATGTCCTCATTTCTAACTTCGGATTTGGCTGAATCTTTTAAGTTTAGAGCTGTTTGTGGGTCTTGGTTTGCTGTTGAAGTGTGCAGTTGTAAATGACTTTCTTTAGTATCAATGGTGTTGGGGATGTCAGAGTGGAGAGCTGTATCTTTATGAGCAGTTTTAGTTACAGATGGTGTTTTGAGATCTACGGTGGCCTGAAGGGTCGGGCCAAGGGGTGGTCTTTGTGTGGTCAGCAGGTGAAGATCTGAAAACATACAACAAGACAATATCTAATAAGTACAACATAACAATTTTGTGTCTATCCTTTCCTATGATAAAATTGTGTATAGATATTCATATCACTGTACATTTTCTCATTGTGGACTGGTTCTGATTCGGAGCTACTCTGTTTGAAATTATTGTATATTTCATTGACTTTTTATGCATTTTGATCTGTGTTTTTAAATTGCTCTTGTGAAGCACTTTGATTTGCCTTGTACACAATTTGTGCTATGCAAATAAATGATTGATTGATTGATTGAGCACGTTTTTCCAACAGAAAAAAGCAAGCGCTCATTACCATACCAACGGTTTACTGTTAGCCGTTAGCATTTCGCTTTTCATTTAAAGTTATTTTGACCAGTTAGCACTTATCAAAGTTTGAATATAACAAGTGGAAAGTCCCGTTGATTTGAATTGGAGCCATCAAAATGACTGCTCTGGGAGTTCTAGTAGTTTCAGAATGAATGTTAATTGGGACAGTTCCCTTTCATCCTGATTTTCCAACAGCTAAATGTTCCACAGAGTTGATATGAATAAGACTGTTTTTGTGCTGACGGAGCAGTGGTTACACGCATCACAGCAAGAAGGATCTGACTTAAATGTCACCTCCAACCTGTGTGGAGTTTGCATGTTCTCCCCATGTCTGCTTAGGTTTCCTCCGGGGGCTCCGGTTTCCCCTTACACTAAAAACATTGTGTCTTGTATATGGCAACCTCGCTCCCATCTCTGTGTGGAGTGAGAGACAAATGCCCACAACAATTGCAAACCGCTTTTTGTGACTCTGGTCTGTGAAAGGCGCTATATAAATAAAGATGACTTATTTACTTGCGGACCTGCACACAGCGGCTGGGAGCTGTTCCACTCGAGGCCTTTACAGTAGAGCGCCGAGGGGCCGATCAGTCTATATCCTTCGTCACATGAAAACTGCACCCACGAGGCGTCACTGCTCAATCTGAAGGAACCGTGAGCCACTGGAACCGGGTGCGGACAACCGGAGCCTGAGGACACGCACACGCAGACTCAGAATCAGCAAATTGATACCTCATTTGCAAGAACAATTAATGCCACATGATTTTTTTAAAGGCTTCCAAATTTGGCCTTTGCCTTTGAAAAACTGTTTTAGTGGTATACAAATACATGTTCACCCCTCCTTATGCCATTTCTGTTCAATTTACAGCCAATAACAAAACATGTGGAATATTGTAACTAAAAGAATACGACTTAAAAAAATAAAATAATAATTATCAAAACACGGATATTTTAAAAGATATCTGGCAACACAAAATGCTTTGATGGCACTGAAAGCAGTAAAATGCGTCATGAATTTTCCATTTACCACTTTCTAAATGTGCATAACAACAGGAAATTTGCAATACAAGTATTTTATCTACAAATTAAAGTTAAAATTAGTGACAATAGCAAATTTTATGCACCAAAGCCACCTGGAAGTTTATTCAGTTTCTCTTAGTTCTTTCTCAGCTATCTAATTCCCATAGAGTAGAGTTGAGTAGAATAGAATCGAGCCAAGTAGAGAGTAGAGTAGAGTATTTAGCAAATTAAATGGACATAATTTTACCGACGCAGGTGGGAGGCTCCCTGGACCAGCGGCCCGAGACGCAGCTGCTGCTCTTGTGTCCATGAAGCTTGTAACCAGGACGACAGTTGAAGATAACGAGGAGCCCCCGGTAACGGACAGAAGTTTGACCGTTCTCCAAACTCCTCAGAGCGCTGCAGCCGACGGCTCCACTCACTGCACACAGTAAAGCCAAAAACAGAACCACTACAGTTTTTTTCTATATCACAATTCAGTATAAGAACTTTATTCCTCCATAAAGGCAAATCAAGATTATTTGTAAAGCACAGTTCATACACAAGGTAACTCAAAGTGCAAAACAAAAGAGTGGAGACACAATCGTGCAGTTGTATGGACACCTGAACAGAGCTGATTTTGAACTGGATTAGAACATTGTCAGAGCCTGTCGCACATTTTCAGGAAGACTATTCCTGATTTGAGCTGCAGTTATCTGAAATGCTGCCTCCCTGTGATAGTCCTGACTATGCTCCTGAACCAGCTCCTCAGAGTCTGAGCTGGTTCATATGGCACCAACAAGTCACAGATGTACTTTGGTGCGACCCCATGAACTTGGACACAAACCACAGAAGATGAAATATAATATAATGAAACTCTTTGTTTGTCCGAAAAGTTTTGAGCAAAATGTGAAAAAGAGCATGATGTCTTATTGTATCTTATTAGAAAACATGTTATCTTTTGCATACACAAGAGTCCTGGGAGTCACTATTTGAGAGATAAATGGATGTGTGAAAAAGCTGATCTATAGAGGTGGCATTGGCTAAAAAACAAAAAAATGTCAACTGTGATTAAAGCCAGAAATGATAGCTAAATTTTATACTTAGTTTGAAAGTTAGATAACCCAGCTTTAATATTGGCATTAACATGTATGGACATTGGTCATCCTGCTCCCTGTGGACCAATGGCTCCTGTGTGTTACTTATTATTGTATTTCCTGTGTTTTAACTGCTCTGTTACTGAGGAATTGTGAATTTTGTGAACAGAGATAAATTGAATGGATCTTTTCTGAAGATATCTGCTGTCTTCTTGGCTCGGGATGTATGTATGGTACATGAATAATTGACAGATGTTTTTATTCCTGAAAAGCCTGAACATGAATCAAAAATGTATGACATACTGTGGAAAAACCAGTCAAAACAGTTGACCCAAAGAAAACAGGTCCATCATTCTCTCATGCAAGTGAATGCTCTCGTTTTGTCCATCCATCCATCCATCTTCTACCCTTTAATCCATTTCTGGGTCAGGGGGGTGGCAGTCAGAGATGCCACCCAAGTCTCATAGCACCAGCCCCTCACTGACCCTCTGCAGGTGGTGAGTCCACAGGAGGACGGCTGCTCTCTGAGTGTGAGCATAGCCTTGATCTTTCGTTTTGTATCAATAGAAAATACTTTGTTTACATGTTCACCAGGTTGTTTAAATGTAGAGTCCCAAGTTTTATGTCATTTTGAAAACAATCCAAAACAATGTAGTATTTTCTCTACAGTGACAATACAGCATATCTTAATCTTAGTAATATCTCTATGGGGGGATACTATGGTTGCACATGCTACTTTCCAGGACTACGAATGGAAAATGGTGCTGAATGTGGTGCAGCCAACTTTTTAATGTAACTACACAGTCATTAAATAAACTAAAAAATACTTTTTGAGGAGCTGAAAACTACGATCATTCATTCACTCCACTCTTCCTATACGAAATATAAAATGTCTCTTATTTCATTATTTTTTTGTATTTTTAGGAGAAGTGTTTTTTGTTCTTATCACCTAAGTCAAAAGCACCAATGTGGAGCCTGTAAACATAAAAAGCAAATGTATTTTACCAAATAGCAAAGTTCCCTACAGTGATAAATAAAGTGCACATACCTGATTGAAAGAGGCAAAATAGTGTGGTCCATGCAGCCAGCAATCTCCTGTGGCATCCCATAGTATTTACCAATGACAATAATCGAAAGAAACTATGAGAGAAGACAGGACCGCTCAATACATAGGTTCTGAGGAAGTTTTAACCCCACGGACAAAGGGGAGGAGCAATGTGAGAAGGTGGGTTTGCTGTACAGATAGTATACTTCAAAATACTATCTACTATCTACTCGGCTCTACTCTGCCCTTAAAACCATCTAACTAGTTCCAATTTCTCAAAATATTTCTGTAAATCACACATTTTCATATGGCTCAGAAAAGAGCTATAGCTGTAGAGCCAAGTAGAGTAGGGCCAAGTAGGTCTGGTGGAAACGGGACTAATGACATTGATAAATTTCTATAAGCCCCTGAACAGAATATGTATATTTCTAAAAAGCTGGGTGTCAATGAGGCATCGATGTTTGGTCTGAGACTCGAACTGTTTTGTTTGCTCATTTCATACAGTGACGTCCCACAGTGATTTTAATTTGCTATCATAAAATACATATCCAAGTGTAGTATCACAGAAGTCAAGTGGGACATTGTAATAATCGTAAAAAAAGTTGTGAACAAACACTGAAAAACATTGAATAACAACAATCATCATTTACGTCATGTCCTTTTTGTGTTCCGCTTCCAAAAGCCTTAAAAATCAAAACTTGTAATTATGTGTCTAAAGGCCTTGACCTGTGCCCCATGGTAATCATAGGTTTACAGACTCGAAGAGGAAAGAGGCCAATTTATACGTAAATATTTTTAAAAGTCAATGAATAGTTTTATTTTAGTTTGTCACTCTCACAATAAGTGCTGATAACATTAATAATCTTTGAACATTCATTTATTTGAGCTCTTTGATGACCATGAGTGATTTAAGTGCAGGTCATAAAGGAGATAAAATACGATGGAGCGTCTGCTGGAGGCTCAGATGTTTGACCTGCAGAAGAATGTCCTTTGATCGACCTGTCAAAATGTAGAGACAGAAAGATGATTTAGAAAAGTTTAAAATATGTCTAAAGCCCTGTTTCCACCAGCTCTGCTCTACTCTACTCCATAAAAGTAAAATGTTAATTATGTCTTCATGTTTAAGGCTTACAAGATTTTTTTAAGACAAAGGTGTAAAGAAGCTTGTTTTGCAGTCTGACAGATTGGAGAAGTGAGTCCCATGCGTGAGCCAAGGTGAAGGCCCCCTCGTCTACTGTGATGGCAAGCGGCCTAGACTCGGGGACGCCAACTCACCCCCCCTGCTGCTCTATTCAATTAAACCTGCAGGAAGGAGCCGGGCTTCCCCCCGCACCTACAGACAATGACTGTCTCACCCTTGTCCCTTTTGCATCTTGCATCTGTATGTCTGCATCTCTACATCCTGCATGTCCATTGTCTCTCTGTTTGCATCTCTATGGCACGGTCTGATTGCCTCCCCCCGGACTAGGCGCCTCGCCTCTGGATGCGCCTCCTGTACTGGTGACCCCCTCCCATCTTTTGTGGGCGTGACTGTCTTTCATGTGTTGTCTATATAAACAGGAACCTGGTCTGGCCGCGTCAGAGCTTATGGACGCTGCTTTGTGTATGTGAGCTCTCCGCACGTGTGTACAATAAACTTACGCTCCTGATTAAGACAAAGACCTTTGAGCTTTCTCCTTCATTGGGGTATGTAATTCTACGACAATTTGGCGTTGCTGGCATGTCTTGGCATGGGATCTTTTCGGCGGGGACGAGCGGCTGCGTTTGGCCGACCTGGAACAACACCAGCCTCTGCTCTATTTGGAGACAAAGGGAGGGCGCGCTCGTCCTGCGCGTGAACAGAATCTTTGGCCACACAAGACCAAAAAGAACCTGATTTGGTGAGTTTTGTCTTTTCATTTGCGTAACAAGCCCAGGGCAGCACTTAAGTGTACACGGGGTTTTGATTTATTTACGTATTTTTTGGGGTATTTCATTCATTGCCACAGCATAGACTGTGTGCGGGATTTTTTGGGGTATTTTGTTCTAGATTGAAGCTAGCGGCTGCGTGTTAGTATCGCTCAGTAAGCGACCCTGAAGATTATCTCTAGTGCCTTCAGCCAGGCCCGCTCCGTTTCAAGAACGCGCGCTCGTTGGGTATATAGAACCCACGGGGGGGGACCGGAGCGCTCCAAAGTGGGTAAGAGCAGGGAGAGACTAAACGGGTTAGGTCCATTGTTCTGTACGAGAAAATGGGGAAAAATCAATCTAGAGATGCCACACCGAGGGGAATGTTAACGTCCCCCGTTACAATGGCAATGGAAAAACGGTTCGAATCTAAAGCTATGGAGTGCTTGCCTACATGGTGCAGTGTTCATTTGGCTTTTCCGATAGAGGCTCTATGTCTCTGAATCAATTACGCATCTTGCGTGATAATTTAGAAGAAGAAAAAAATATATATATATACTTGGTTTTAAGAATATCACGGCAAAAGACGTTAGAGAAAGAAATATGTAAAAACAATAGCTCCTCCGCTTTTCACCGAAGCGGAGAACACACAGGCGGACACACAGGCGGACACACACATCCCACACACCCCCCACCCTACCGCCCTCTCTCACCTACTAACCCTTTCACACAAGAAGCAGAACTCCATGCTAAGTGTGCGCCCAAACAAGGCGTTGGGTTTTTAAAAAAATGAGCAGACTACTGTTGTCCCCTTTTCCTCTCCCTGTCCAGGTCTGTCGGCGCTTTTCCTCCGCGCTCTGGCCTCTGCCTCAAAGCCCCAGCACCAGCCCCACGCCCCAACCACGGCGGCGCTCGCACCAGCTGAGACCCCGCGAGAAGTGGGCCCAAACCCGGGAGCAGAAGAAGAAGCGGCGGAAGCAGATACACGCTCAGGAAACCGCAGAAGAAGAAGCGGCGGAAGCAGGAAACCGAAGCTCACGACTCACTCCGTGGACACATTATGTGAGACACCGACAACTGCTTTGGAGGCCAGAGACAAACTGCTCCAAATCCCGTGACTGTTCCCCACGGAGGCGGCAGCGTGAAACACAAAACGCACCCGCTGAAACCTCGTTGAAGGTTGCCCCCGCACCGCAAACAGAAGAAGCCATTGGGACCGGCACGTTTGGATATTAACCAACCCTCATGGACCACAGGCTAACATCATTTGAACGCTTTGGGCTACCTGGGCCTCCTGCGGACTTTGAGAAACTTCCACAGCCCGGCGGAAAGACTGTGTGCTCGACATGTGTCGAAGGACTGTCACCGGAGGAGGCGTTAAAGGCAGAGGAACGCTCAAGCTCACACGGGGCC